ATGAATGAGAACTTGAAATTGGAAGTTACGACTATTTATTTCTTTCTTTGGTTTAACTTATGCAAAATTGAAATTCATATTGAATTATCGAGACCATTGAGTTTCTTTGAATTTCTTATATGACTAACATTTAATAGATACATGAGTTCATCTTTTCATATGCCTTTATACATTGAACTCTAAAAATATCAATTATTTTCATAAACATACATTAAATGACTAATTATAAATTAATATTAATTATTTTAATTTTGATAGGGGCATTTTGGTCATCACAAAAAAGGGAAGAAACCTCCCCTAATATTCCCACTTTTATAAGTAGTATAGATAGATTAATGTATGTATGTATCGAACACGAACAACCCAAGTGAAATAATATTTCATCAATAATATTGACTATATTTGTTTTTTTCTTCTCGTTTTATTGTTTATAAATGTTATGTAACTTATATTTACTTCTATACAAATTTACGTAGTTTTTGTTCTTTTTTTTTTTTTTGGTATATTTATATTGTATTTTGGACTAAATTCTTAAGAATATTGAAAAATGTATATTTCTATAAATTTATTATGGTTTATAAAGTTAATATTCAACTTTTTTCATACTTTTCTGAAATTTTGAAATTAATGATTTTCTTAACAGCTGCCAATGCAAAAAACCCTCAATGAACATAAAACTATTCCAGGACAACCTTAAAACTCAAAAGTACTTAAGTATTTAAGTATTTCCGTCCCATTCAAGTATTTTCGTCCGATTTTACTGAAAATTTATTTTTCTCTTACAAGTAAGGGCAAATAGCAAAAAGGCCCATCACATGGGACTTAAATGCATTTTAGTCCACAAAAAAAACAGTCTCTCAATTAAGCCCATCCCCATGTCTTTAGTCTAAAATACCCTCAATAATATAATTCTTAACAATTCCACCCATTATGCTCTAACTTCCTTAATATTACACATTGACCCCGGATTTAAACAAATATATCACATTAACCCCCAAAACTTTTTTTTTTTCAGAAAATAATTTTTTTTCTGAACTGTTTTTTTTCCGGCCAGATTCCGGCCGGATTTCGGCGTTGACTTTTTTTTTTTTTTTTTTTTTTTTTTTTTTTTTTTGAAATTTTTTTTTCCTGATTTTTTTTTTCCGGCCGGTCAACCACCGTTGACCGCCGGTTTCCGGCGTTGACTACTCTTTTTTTTTTTTTTTTTTTTTTTTTTTGAATTGTTTTTTCTTAGAAAAAAAATATTTTAATTAATATTACTGTCTTGACTACTAAATTACTGTCTCAGACAGTAATATTACTGTTTGGGACAGTAATATTATGAATATTATTTTTCCGAACAGTAATATTATTAATATTATTGTCTAAGACAGTTAAATTACTGTTGGAGACAGTAATTTAACATCCAAGACAGTAATATTAATTAAAATAATTTTTTTTAAGGAAAAAAATTAAAAAAAAAAAAAAAGTCAATTAACAGTAAAGTTACTGTCTCCGACAGTTAAATAACTGCTGGAGACAGTAATTTAGCAACGAATACAGTAATATTAATTAAAAATATTTTTTTTAAGAATAAAAATGTCAATTAACAGTTAAATTACTGTCTCCGACAGTTAAATAACTGCTGGAGACAGTAATTTAGCAACGAATACAGTAATATTAATTAAAAATATTTTTTTTAAGAATAAAAAAGTCAATTAACAGTTAAGTTACTGTCTCCGACAGTTAAATAACTGCTGGAGACAGTAATTTAGCAACAAATACAGTAATATTAATTAAAATATTTTTGAAGAAAAAAAAAAAAACAGTCAATTAACAGTTAAATTACTGTCTCCGACAGTTAAATAGCTGCCGGAGACAAACAGTAAAATTAATTAAAATATTTTTTTTAAGAAAAAAAAAAAAAAAAAAAAAAAGTCAACGCCGGAGACCCGGCGGTCAACGGCCGTTGACCGGCCGGAAAAAAATTTCAGGAAAACAAAATTCAAAAAAAAAAAAAAAAAAAAAAAAAGTCAACGCCGGAATCTGGCCGGAAAAAAAAATATTTCAGAAAAAAAATTATTTTCTGAAAAAAAAAAAAAAGTTTTGGGGGTTAATGTGATATATTTGTTAAAATCCGGGGTCAATGTGTAATATTAAGGAAGTTAGATCATATTGGGTGGAATTGATAAGAATTAGGGTTAAAATTGGGGTCAAAATTGAAATTTGGGTTAAAATTGGTTAATTGATGAAATTGGGCTAAATTGGGGTGTAAATCATGAAATTGGAGTTGAATTGGGTTTCAATGAATTGGGGGTAATTTTGGTATATATAAAGGGATTTTCCTTATTTGCAAATAAGTTTGAATGGGGTGGATTTATTTGAAAGACAAAAAAGTTGGATGTCCCTATTTTAATTAAGTGCCCTTGTCATGGGCCTATTTGCCATTACCCCTACAAGTAAAGTATATCGAGAAACCACAATTAAAGTATTTTTTTTTATCTTAAAGTTGAACATAAAAATTACGTTTAAGTTTTCGTCTAATTAATTTCAAATGTGGGAATTTTATCTTTTTATAATATACTATAATTTATTAAATATTTGATAGTTTTAATTATTAGATTTATTTAATCAAAATAATACGCCATGAAAAAAGTATATCACTAAATAAAATAAATTTTGTGATGTATACTAAAATTTAAATGGTAAATATCATTGTCAAAATTTTCGAATAAATAATGGAAAAAATATTGAGTATAAAAATATTTTCATTCTAATTCTTATAATTCTTATGATACTTTATATTTTATTTATCTTTAGAATAAATATTAGTTAGATGAAAATATGATTAGAAGGTTCAATATAAGTAAACATGAAACAAAAGGATCAAAACTTACAAAAATAAAAATGAGTATCAGTGATAAATACTCGAATTTTTTATTTACAAAGTTAAAAAGATTCAAGTTTGTAAAATAATAAAGGGTTAATTACATGCACCCCGAGGTAAAGTTAAATTACGAAAAAACCTCTCATGTTTGGGTAATTACAACTGCCCGTAATTATGAATCTTCTTACACGCTCACCCTTATGGTGTCAAATTCAAAATAATCTTCAAGATTCAGTGAAATGTTTTCTAGTTTGTACTCGTTTTGTGCAAAAATGCAGTTTCTGATGCATCACATTCTGATTTATATACAAGCCAAAAAACACATCTTATGATCATCTTACTTCAAAATGTGGAGCTTGAATGGGATAAACCGGGTACAAAATTGAGAATATTCCATATAATTTAGAACATTTCACTAAATTTGACACCGCAATTGTAGACATATATGAAGATTATAGTTGAGGGTAGTTGTAATTACCAAAACAAGAGTGGGTTTTTCGTAAGTTGACCTTATCTCAGTGGGATGGCCGTAATTTACCCAAATAATAAAGGGGCTCTTTAATATAACCCCATAAATACTTATTTTAATAGGGAGTGACCCAAACTATTTTGCATCATTTGTGAAAACCCCATTTTTAATTTCAGCCACCAATTTTTCCAATTATGTCCCTTTTTTTCCACCTCATCAACCTTATCCGCCCCCACCCATGAGCCTTTCCCTTTTTTTTTTCCTTTTTTTTTAATTATTATTATAATTATTCATTTTTTTTTTAATTTTTTTTTTCGTTTTTTTAAAACTTTTTTTCTTTATCAGGTATATTAATCAACTATGGGTGGAATATCTGCCTCGTCCATCAACCTTTTTTTTTTTATGTTTTTAATTTTTTTTAACCTTTATTTTCTCTATCATGTATATTAATCGACTATGAGATATAGACATAGTCGATTAAGAATCTGACTATTAAAAATAACAAATCACAACTATAAAATAATACAAAATCAACTATATTTTACAAAAACAAAACCAAGCATTATAATTGATTTATACAATTGGAATCAATAAACAAAAAAAATCAAAAAAAAAAAAAATTGGAGTTGATTAACCTTAATCGACTACCAGAGTATAGTCGATTAACTTAATCGACTATTGAAAATGTACATTGTCGATTAAGGTCCCAGCATGTGTGAATTTCTCTATCCGCGCCGTTATCCACCTGATCCCCCAAAAAACCTTAAATCTACCTCCCGATCGTCACCACACCGCCGTCACACCATACTTTGTCAACCATAGTGGGAGTTCGATCTCCCAGTCTCCCGGTTTCAAGAACTGGAATCTTCCATTAACGACTTTAATGAAAAACTCCATTAAAATATAACAAGCATAAAAGAGAGGAAAAAAACACAGAGAAGAAAGAAGATGAAGAATCTGGAAATTCATAATTTGTTCCCAACAAACTGTAATCTTGTCAAAATCAACAGAAAAATTCTAACAGATCTACTCACACTCATGACATATTTGCAGAAATTAATCCCAAAACAAATTGAGTGTTATCTTTTTCTCTTTTAAATTTTTACGCGATTTATTATAAGAAAAAAAAAGGTATTAATGTGTATACGACTTCAATCCCGTTGATATGAGTGACAACCTTTTCTATTTGTACACATAAGAAGAAGAAGAGGAGGAAAATTGAGGAGAGAGAAAGAGGAAGAAGATGAGGAAAAAGTAAGAGAGGTAAAGAAAAAATGTACGTAGGTAAGAAGAAGCTGGAGAGGAAAAGGAGGAGAGAAAGTGTATTGGACAATTAAAGATAGTTTTAGAATTATGAAAATATCATTTGGGTGAAATATTAAATAAGGGAGTTTTCTCTAATTATTTTTTGGAAGGGGTGTTTCCTTACCTACATTCCCTAGATAAGGGGGTTCTTGCTAATTTTCCAAATAATAAAAGAGCAGACTTATCTTAAAAAACTAATAAGAAAAGGGTATAGTTGGTATAACATGTAATCAAGGGGGATAATTGAAGTATTGTAATAGTAGTGGGGAGGTAAATGAAAGTTTCTATTTAGTATAGGGGAGGTAAGTGAAATTAACCCTAAAAAAATATAATTGACTTCAATTATCGATCTTGTCTTTCACCTTTGCCCACTTCTCCTTCTTTCCCCAATCGCCCCCAAACATAAACTCGGTGTCGCTCAGTGACTCAGTCTCACATATCAAAATTGACAGCAAAAATGGCTTCTTTCAAATTGGGTCTGCAATTATTAATTCCATTGTTATTGATTATTTGCTTATGTGAAGCGGAGCAGAAACTCAGCACTAAAGAATGCGAGAAATTAGGGTTCACGGGACTCGCCCTTTGCTCTGATTGCCACACCTTCGCCGAATACATCAAAGATCAAGGTTTTATTTTTCGTTTTTTTTTTCTGTGTTCTTCAGATAAATCCGATTACTTTGAATATGTATCTGAAGATTTTATATATATAATTTAATTTTCACACTTGCTACTCTGTTTATACAATGTGATATGGGATGAATGGATTATCTTTTAATAAGAAAATGGGATTGTGAACTGTGTTTATTTTTAATGGGGGTTAACTTATTAATTTAATCTGGTGCCAAAAAATGCGCATATAGTTGTAAAATTGGAGTCTTTTGTGTTGATTAAGAGGGTGACTGTAAGCTAGTATTTCCGACACCCCCACCTATCCGTAATAACCAAAATCCCCCTCTGATTAACCGTTGATCGAGTTTTTTAACAGAAGATGTATGTGTACAGCCTATTATACTTTTTGTTAAATAGGTGAGAAATAAAAGAAAATATCTGAAATTGTGTAAAGTCTATTCCCTGGAATAAAAAAAAATCCGTCAAAAGTCACACTGTAAGGGGTTGGTGTAAGACGGAAACAAACCTCAGGGGGTTTTTGGTAATTACGAATAGGTGGAGGTGGTTTTTGAAATTTAATCTAAGTTTAGGGGGGGTTTCATAATTTATGTGTGTGTGTGTGTGAACATAACTGGTGTGCCCATATATTGGGATGAAAAAAAATGAGAATTTTCTTGAGATTACTTTTCTTGGTGACACATTTCTTGATTATGAATAAATTTTGGTGCAGACAGCTTTATCGAGTGCCGGTAAGTGAAACTTGAAAGATAAATTTTATCTAATGGCTTAATCATTTGATTATAGTGATTCTTGGACATCGACGATGATATCTCGTGTCGAATAGTGGCTGCTAATTTTGGCAATGCAAGAAATTGGAAGAACGCTACTTTTCTTAATGATTTTAACAGGAATACTATTTTACGATAACTTTTGATTGCATTGTGATTAAATGCACGAATAGTTGAGTTAAGGGTCTCTTGTGTTTTTCTCTAATTCTGTAGGAATTTGCTCTATATGTAAAACATTGATGTCTCTTTCAAGACGATTGTTCTAGAGAAAACTAAAAGTGAAAACCATGATAAAATAATTAAATTCTGACGATTAGTTGTGCATCATTTTTCCTATTGCATGCAGATTTGGTAGCTGAGTGTTTGAAGTGTTGTGCGGAGGATTCTGATGATGCTACGAGCAAGGTATATATATCTTGCCGATTCTTTTTTTTTTTTTTTATTTAATTATATTTTCAAATGAACCCTTTGTTTTCAGTGTTGGAGTTTATGGTACTTAGTGGGATTGAAGGTTTTGACGAAGAGAATATTATAAATGATTTTATATTTCCTTTTCCCTAGATTTTTTTTTCGGACAATGTCGACTTCATTCTCTTTTGGGTGAATTACGGCCACCCCCGTAGATAATGTCAAATTACGAAAACCCCCCTCCTGTTTGGGTAATTACAACCACCCTTCAACTATGAGTTTTCTTACACGTCCACCCTTGCGGTGTCAAATTTTAGTGAAATCTTTTACACGAAAACTGGAATATTGTCCAGTTTGTACCCGTTTTACCCCATTCGAGCTCCACATTTTAAAACAAGATGATCATAAAACGTGTCTCTTGGGTGGATATTTATGAAGATTCATAGCTGAGGAGGGTGGTTGTAACTACCCAAACAGGAGGGTTTTTTTCGTAATTTGACCTTACCTCAGGAGGTGGCCGTAATTTACCCTTCTCTTTTTGGTAAACTAATTTGATGCATATAGCTGTCTTTTATAGATTAATTCTTTCTCTGTTTCTTTAAATTTATTCTAAGGAACAAAGACTGGATCTCGTTTCAATTGGGGTTTCAGGTTATATATTCAGGCGCCATTCTAGAGGTTTGCATGAGGAAACTGGTCTTCTATCCTGAATTAGTCGGCTTTATCGAGGAAGAGAAGGATAAATTCCCTTCAGTCAGAGTTCAATATGCGTATAATTCTCCACCGATGTTGATCATGTTGGACGACGAAGGACAACACAAGGAAACCATTAGGTAAGCTTTCTATTGTATTGTTCGAGTTTTTATATATTCCTATACGTTGTCGCGTAGAAGGTGATTGGTACATGATTTATTTGCTGAACGTAAAACTTTCTTGGTTGTTATATGCAGAGTTGATAATTGGAAACGAGAACACATACTGCAATTTCTAAAGGAGAAGGTTAAACCATCGTCAGAAATTTAAACGAAGAAGAAGAAAAGGTCATCATGAATATATACATGGCGTTTTACATTCAATGAACGTTATGTTATTTCGATATTTCATTGTATAACATAATATATCGAACATCTCGAATATCCACTTGCTAATCAACTCTCTAAATTAAAGATTGCATTAGAGGTTTAAATTCTACTCTCCATTTCAATTTGAATTTTAAGATTACATTTTTATTGACCACACAGTATGTTGCACCGCAAACTTTCGGGTCCAATATTGCACTTAACCCCCCTCACAAGATAAGAAAATTTATATCTATTTTTAAATCAATTATATAAATAATGGTAGAAATTATGTAAAAAAAAAAAATAAGGAAACTACAGTTATATTTTTGGCACAACTTTCTTCATCATTTCCAGAAGAACATCGTTTTTTTTGGATACTTGCAGGTGATTAATTAACATGGACGAAGTAACTGTATCGGCCGAGAATCCCCTTTTGTACATTTCCTCTAAGAATGGCATTGCCTTGTAAACCTCTTTCCTCTTTAGCAAACCTTGGATTATGTTGTTGTATGTCACGCTATTCGCTGCACAACCGCTTCTCGCCATTTTTATAAGCAAATCTTTTGCCTCCTCTACGAACCCTTCTTCACAAAGTGAACCGATAACAATGGTATACGCTTGACAATCTGGTTGCAAACCTTTCGAAGGAAGTTCGTTTAAAAGCTTTTTTGCATCTTCAAGTTTCCCATCTTTGCACAAACCACTAATCAGGATACCGTATGTGACTATATTAGGACTTACTCCTTTGTCTTCCACCGTCTTTAGAAACGATAACGCATTAGAAATCTGACGAGTCTTGCACAAGCCTTCCAACAAAATATTGTAAGTACGTAAATCGGGACGTACGTGCCGAGCTTCCATATCCTTAAACAAATTCCACCCATCACCAATTCGGCCTTCACTAAATAATCCATGTATCATGGTGCTATACGTAAATGTCGTGTGCTCTAAGCCTTTAGAAGAAGCTTCGAGAAAAAGACGCCAAGCTTCATCAACTTTTCCCTTCTTGCAATATCCGTTTATTAAAGTGCCATAGCTCATAATACATGGCTTAAGGCCGTTGCCCGTTATAGAATCAAATACTTCTTCCGCTTTATCCATTTTCCCTTGCAAACAATACCCATCTATCAGTGCATTATATGTGACAATATTAGGACAAATATTTTGTTGCTTCATAACTTCCAAAACATCTTCAGCCTCTTTAATGCTTCCTTCCTTGCAAAATGCGTCCACCAATATACTAAAAGTAACAACATCTACCGAAATCTTGTGATTCACCATTTCATTTAATAAATCCTTCACCTCTTTCCATCTACCAAAATCGCACAATCCCTGAATCATCGAGTTATATGTGACAACAGTCGGTGAAATGCCCTTATCAATCATTCTAGACTTGAGCTCGAGTGCATTATCCAGCATTCGGCACTTGCATAAGCCATTAATTACAGCGTTATAAGCCATAACATCGGGTTTATAGATAGTATTTTCCAACAACAAAAGCAAATCACGGGCAGTATGAACGCGTCCAGCTTTGCAGAGCCCATCTATCACAGTAAGAATCGTAACATCGTTTGGCTCACAAAGTTTCAAAGTCAAAATCTTCTTGAACAATTTCTCTGCCTCGGCCACATTACCATCTAAAAAGAATCCTTTTAAGAGGGTGGTGAATGTCGTAACATTTGCCTCGTAACCGTGTTTAAAGAAATAGCCGAAGATAGCAAAACCAACGTCTACACGTTTCAAAAGGCAGCAACAGTTAATCAAGATGTTCATTGTGTACTCATCTATAGGGGCACCCCATTGACGCATTTCGTCGAACAGTTGAAGGGCAACAGAGTATTGTTTCATCTTGAAAATAACTTGCAGTAGTTTGGTGAATTCAAAAACGGAAGGCTGTGGCTGCATTCTAACCATTTGACGAAACAAGAAAACAGCATCATCTAATTCATTTATACAACTCAAATCTATTCTGGGTTTAGGTGAAAAGGATCGATCTTTGTGAAAATTTGAACAGAATAACGAAAAGTGATCAACAAAAATAGCGTAATGGTGAGAAGATTTAGCAGCAGCAATTGCTCTACGAATCAGCAGCGTTATTCCAAACCCGCTCATCTTCTTCAGCTATTTTAGTGAACAATTGACTGTACCTACACAAGAAGAAGTCTCGAAGATTATCGCAACAAGATTATCACAGAGTGTAATTACTTGGTCAATGGAAAGTGTTGTAATTACTTAGAGAGTGGCAGTTTCTGTAGTTACTTGGTCAATGGAAAGTGTTGTAATTACTTTGAGAGTGGCAGTTTCTGTAATATAATTACTGCTAAATGATAGTTTTGTAATTGTTGTTGAGCGGCAGTTATGTATTTGTTTGTTGATTGTGAGTTCTCTAGTTTTTGCTCAGAAGCACTTCTTTAATTATTGGAGAAACTACAGAAAAATCCCTAAACCAAAACTTGAAACACAGATCAGTCCCTAGGTAGTTTCCCCTAGCATTTCAGTCCCTACTCACGCGCCTAACATGCAGATCAGTCCCTAATAAAATGTGCAAATACGAAAATACCCTTTACTTTATACTAATTTTACATAACTTCTTTTCAACTTCCCACGCGCCGTTTGTATTACACGCTCTTTGCCCGTTACATTTCAAAAATCAAACAACAAAAAAGAAGCTAAAAAGGCGCAGAAAAAACCACCGTTCAGTAATACCCATTTTCAGACCAAGAAGAAACGAAGAAGAAACGAAGAAGAAACGAAGAAGAAACGCAACAGAGAAACAACAAAGAAGGAAGAAATTACGAAACACGAAGAATCAACAAACCGCAGAAAAATAGTATAAACAAACCCATTTATAAACAATGGTGAAGCAGGGTAAACAACAAGGTTTGATTTTTTATTTTTTTTTCATTTTCTTGGAAACAGACCCATTTGGGTGTTGCTTAAGCAGGGCAAAAAGGTTTATTTGTTATAGAATTGCATGATTTTGAACATATCCACTCATGGGTATTATGCCTCGACTTTATTCGGTGTTTGCCCTAATCATTAAATCGGTTCCAATATTTGTTGTTCTGTTGTTTGGGTTTGCAAAGATCATTTATTTGTTGTCGAATTTCATGATTTTGTAACAGTTTTCTCATGGGTATTATTCTTCGGTGACATTAGCATGTCCCCAAAGCATTTTGAGTCCTAACAAGGGTTTCATATAGGATATGGGAAAGAGGCTTATTGTATTTTTCGTACTGGTTCTATAGTATGTGTCATGCGCAGTAATGGTATTAATAGTGCATTTAGATGGTATAATCTTTGATGGTTCTGTAGCATGTGTCATATGCCACAATAGTATTACCAGTGACTTTGAATGGTATTACTAGTGACTTCGGATGGTATTGACATGTGGTACTAGAAGTATAATGTTGATGGTCCTGTAGTATAAGTCATATGCCATAATAGTATTACTAGTGCCTTTGAATGGTATTACTTGTGACTTCGGATGGTATTGACTTGTGGTACTAGAAGTATAATGTTTGATGGTCCTGTAGTATAAGTCATATGCCATAATAGTATTACCAGTGCCTTTGAATGGTATTACTAGTGATTTCGGATGGTATTGACATGTGGAACTTTATAGTACGTTGTATTTGTTATAATTGTATTTGTTTTATGTGTATGTAATTGCAGGAATTGTTGTAAAAGAAGATTGCAGCAAGCTATCAATAGGCTGCAGGTGCTCACCGATCGCTTTTCACCTAACTATGGAAGGTGTGAAAAAAGTGATGAAGAAACAACATCATGAAGTACTGAAGAAAAATCCCTTCTATCACTACATGGACATGCCTAAAATAAACCACAGCTTCCATAGGGTTGTGTCTCTCATGCAAGCGTACAATCCAGAAGATCGGGCCTTCTGGTTTGGGGGAAATACTATACGCTTGGAATTCACTCCGCAGCAATTATCTATCGTATTAGGGCTGCAGTACGAAGGCGTACCGGTGGATGTGAATATGGATGGTAGAGACACTGATTTCATCACACGTATTTTTGATGGTAAGTTATCTTTAGTGACGAGGCCATATATTGGTTATAAACTGGAGGCCTATGCAGTTATGACCGATCAACAATCTGTTGAAGATTTCAGCAGATTGTACACTATTTATCTGTTAAATACTATTCTACTGCCAAATGGGAACAAAACGTTAGAAAGGTGGGTTTATCCGCATGTAGAAGATTTGGAGGTTTTAGGGTCTTTTGCATGGGGAAAGTTGGTGTATGATATTCTTGTTGAGAATATGGAGGGGTATCTGAAGGGGGACTTGAAGTATTTTGATGGATGCACTATCGGCTTATTGGTAAGTGATATCTAATAGTGAATATATATTATGTTATATTGAATATACCAATTAATATTGATTCCAAAATACGCAGGCATGGGTGCATGAAAGGATCACGTCACTAGGGGTTAGCACCAGTGTTTACAAATTTCCCCGGTTCTTCCGGTGGCAAGACAGCAAAATCCCAATCGATGAAGAAGCAGTTAGGTTGCTTTTTGATCAGATAAAACAAGTGCAGGTAACACTTTGAGTTACAAAATATATAATGTATTAGGTATTTGCTAATAAATTTTTTACGTTTATTAGGTTATACCATTTTCTGTGTACCCGAAAGAGAAAGCGTTGCTTTCTCCGGTTTTGGAAGTAATTTCTGGTCCAGTTGTTGGAATTAGTGCTGACAGATTTGTGGAAATAAGTTCTGAGAGTAGTGAAGATGAGATTGGAGACGTGGAAGCAACATCTGTAAGTCATTAATACAATAAACCCTAAAATTCATACTTCCATTCCCATTGGAACATACTATATGTCAACTAATATAATACTATGGTATAACATGTTTCGTACTATTGTTTTTTTTAGTTGCAGCAGATGATGAATAACTTAAAAAGGAAGAGGGGGAATGTAACAGAAGAAAAAAATAAAGAAAAAAAAATGCAGAGTAAGAGAAAGAAAGAAAAGGAGATAGAGAAAGAGAAGGAGATAGAGATAGAGAAAGAGCAGGAGAAAGAGAAGGAGAAAGAGAAAGAGACAGAGACAGAAAAAGAGAGAGAGACGGAGACAGAGAAAGAGATAGAGATAGAGGCAGAGATAGAGGAAAGGGAAAAGGAAGGAGAAAATGAAGGAGGAAAGGGGATGGAAGGTGAAGGAGAACGAAGTGAAGAAAGAGAGAGAAATCAAGGAGACGAAAGTGAAGAAAGAGAGAGAAATCAAGGAGACGAAAGTCAAAGTCAAAGGCCAAAGTCAAAGGCCAAAGTTCCACGCGTGCGAGGACGAGGACGAGGACGTGGTCGTAAACAAGTTCCTGTGTCCAAGGTTTCGGTTTCAGTCCCTGGGATCAAGGTATTTTTATCTAATATTAGTATTACATTATTATTATTTTTTGTCATAATTGGTGTGATTTATTCGTTATATAGAATGCCGATTATTACCGGGGAAGAAAGGACTACGTACGTCGTGACCAAATATCCGAAGAAGATAGGATATTGTTGGATCAGTTCTTGGAAAGTGTTGATTTAGGGTAAGAGCACAACCACCTTGATAGTACATGTTAATGTCTTTAATGGTATATGTCAAGTGAATGCATAGTACATGTTGACTGCATGTTATAGTATGTAGTAACTTTGTACATAGTATAAGTTTACTTATACAATGGTACATGTTGACTGCATGTTATAGTATGTAGTAACTTTGTACATAGTATAAGTTTACTTATCCAATAGTACATGTTTACTGCATGTTATAGTATGTAGTAACTTTGTACATAGTACAAGTTTACTTATCCAATAGTACGTGGTTATGTCTTACTGTAGTGAAATTATTGTGGAGAGAGGCCCACATCAGTTGACGGGAAGGCATATGTGCGAACTTTTATTTGATGAAATGCTGAGTGCAGAACACATAGATTTGTACTTGAATCTATTATGTTCCGAATCTATCATGACCCAGCATGGACATGAGATTGATTACCTTGACTCCCCTGCCCAGGTATATAGTTTAACAAATAATTTTGCATACATTACAATGTTATCTAATATTCTCTATTATGTTTCGTAGCAAGAGTTAATGTCGCGACCTCGGATGGACGTAGAACGAATGAGCGATGCCAAGTTTGATCGTCTTCTCAATGATTTTACTATTTTTGGAACGATGGCTTTTGACAAGCTAAACACAGCAAATATCTTCAGTAAAACATTTGTCATGATACCTATCAATTCCAGTGAACACTGGTTCCTGCTTGTTCTGAACCCAATAGATAAATGTATTTACCATTGGAACTCCATAGACTATTCTCCGAATTTCCCAGGAATTGCGGATTATGTCGTAAGCCCATATTCTTGTAATTAGTTATTCTTTATTCTTGCGAATTGTTGTAGACTAATATAATATTTTATTTTCGTAGGCCTCGTTTTACAGCAAGGTGGTTGAAAGAAGGTCTGGGTTGCAGATACAATCGGAAGCTAAATGGGTTCATGGATGCAGGCAGCAGGATGGGAACCTTGATTGCGGCTTGTTTGTCTGCATGTGGGCATATTGTCATGCTGTAAACAGTGAAGAAATTTGGTTTAAGGCAAAAACTTGCGATATCAAAATACTTCGCCCAAAACTAGCAGCTATCTTTCTGAGGCATCGGGGAGTAGAAGTGGAAGCTAAATATGAAATAGATCTGGCGTTATTGTGAAAAAACTGGGAGTGGAAGTGTTTTGGGGTTCTTGTCTTTTTTGTAATTAATTAATGAACAGGTGAATGTGTTTTTATGCCATAAACAATCTGTCCTTTTGTTGTAGAGCTAATAATACTATTGATTAGCTCTACTCGTACTTTTTCATTGTATACATTGTACTATATGTTTCGATGAAATGTACTTGCCTTTTGAACACATGGTACTTTATTTTGCGATTAATTAGTTTGTATAAAGAATATAAGCGTACCATAAAAATGAGCAACAAATACTGTCTAGTCCATTCGAAGATACCTTGTCAACAATAGACTTGTACTTATTTGATGAACAAAGCGTACTTCACATGTGTATTCACAAAAAACTTACCATAATCGATGTTGATTGACTCC